GCGGTCGTTGAAAGAGGACGGCTGGAGGGCACCGAGGTCGTTTAGGCGGTCTTCGAGGCGCATGGGGGAGGACTTGTTGTCCGGCGAGCTGCCGGGGTGCTCGCTCTTGATGCGCGACACGGAGGGTGTATCGAGCTGTCTTTTCCGGTTCGAAGAGAGCTTATGCTTGGAGCCCGTAGCGGGCGTGCCGGGTACCAGACTGTCGAGGATGCCGAAGACATCGCCGTTCTTGGTGACGGTGCGCGGGGTGGCGCCCACGCGCTTCTCGGTCTTGATGTGCGTCGCCGGGTTCCTGTTGCTGCGCTCGAGCGCGTCCTGGAGGTCCTGCTTGAAAGCGCGGAGGGTGGTGATGGACACGTTGTTGCCCTCCAAGTCCATCTTCATCGAGTACGACTCCCACTTGAACCAGAGGTCTTCGGGCGACAGCTCGTGGAGGCGCATGATGGACTGCAGCTCGGCCACCACGTCCGGCTGCAGCTGTTTCCCGCCGCTGCCAAACCTGTCGTTCAGCTCTGTCACTACAGAGTCTGCCATGTCTTCTGGTTTTTGTGTGTCGCGCAATTAGGTTGTACTGTCACTCCGATCTCGAGTATTGGCGATGATGGTGGTGGGGTGTTGGAGTTGAATCGGGCAACATGGATGTCCCAAATATTTGACAGGAGACGCGCCTCAGACGCGTTAAGTGGTGTCCCGGCTCCTTGGTAGTACAGCGCTAAACTCTTGTTAGTTAGTGATTCGTCCGCCGTGGGGGCCAATTATTAGCTAGCTCGTTTGGTTCGTCTAGCTTGTTTGCGGACCCAATTCCGCCGTATCTCACTAAGGTATCATTTCCAGCGCAGATGACTTTCTTACTTTCTCCTTTTCATACCGAATCTCACAACTGTCCTTCTTATAGACCGTAGATTTGCCAGTGACCGGTGTTTGACCTCGGGTCTGCAGCAGACAGCATCTGTATTGATATAGACTGTCCTGTCTCCCGTTGATACCTTTCAGCGCTGCTTTATACAATCTCCGGCGTTTAAGTCTCACAGAACGGCGACCTTGATTCCTTCAGCCCAACTTGGAACCCAATTCTACCCGGGAGCAGCTATAGAAAACTCCCAATATGTCTTCCACTACATCCCAAGCTACGGCCGCCCTGAAGACCCCGACCCCTGCACCCCGATCCACCGAGCGGCCCAAACCACAGCCATCCCTCACCGCGGACCAGCAAAAGAACTACGACTGGCTGCTCGAGCAAGTCAAGTCTTGGAAGGACGTTCCCTCCCCAACCCGCCCAGAAAAGGCCGGACCACTCACAGACAACGAGCGGTTCTGGCTCACGCGCGAGTGTCTCCTGCGCTACCTCCGCGCCACCAAATGGAACCAGAAGGAGGCCGAGCAGCGCCTGCTGGGCAGCCTCACCTGGCGCCGCGAGTACGGCGTCGACGACGACGACGTGCTGACCTGGGACCACATCTCTCCCGAGAGCGAGACGGGGAAGCAGTTCATCGCCGGCTACGACAACGAGGGCCGGCCGTGCCACTACCTCAACCCGGGGCGGCAGAACACCGACGTCAGCCCGCGGCAGAATCAGCACTTCATCTTCATGCTTGAGCGGGTCATCGAGCTCATGCCGCCCACCGTCGAGACCATCTGCCTGCTCATCAACTTCAAGCAGAGCAAGACGAGGAAGTACACCGCCCCGGGCATCAGTCAGGGCCGGGAGGTGCTGCACATGCTGCAGACTCACTACCCCGAGAGGCTGGGCAAGGCGCTCATCATCAACGGTTTGTTTAACTCTCCCCGCCCCCTTACCTATACGAGCAACCTCTTTTGTGAGTCCCGTACTGACGTCCGAAAACAGTCCCCTGGGTGGTCTGGGGCTTCTTCAAGCTCATCACGCCCTTCATCGACCCCCTGACTCGCCAGAAGCTCAAGTTCAACGAGGACATGAACCAGTACGTCCCCCCGCAGGAGCTGTGGACCGAGTTCGGCGGCAAGCTCGAGTTCGACTACGACCACGCCGAGTACTGGCCCGCGCTGAGGAAGCTGTGCGAGGAGAAGCGCGCCGCGAGGAGGGAGAGGTGGCTGGCTGGCGGGAGCCACGTCGGCGAGCACGAGGATTATCTCGCTGGTGGGAAGGAGACGGGCGTTGCTGGGACGGTGGGGCCTGCTAAGGCAGAGAGCAAGGAGGCTGCTCCGGCTGTCGAAACTGTGAAGGAGGTGGAGAAGGAGGAGGCAGCCGCCCCCGCTACCGAGGCTGCGCCTGCGACTAATGCGACGGAGGACGTGACGGAGGCGCTTACCAAGGTCGAGCTCGAGGGCAAGCCTGAGGGCAACTTTGAGGCTGACCCGGTGAAGCCGGAGGGAGGAGCAGCGAAGGTTGAGGGTGTATAGCCGGGCAGGTACGGGATACTTATGGCTTTAACTTGGTGCGGGTGCAGATGTGCGTTGGCGGAATACCACTTTTAATGCCCAGCAAGCTATTTAGATCTGCTTAAACTTAGAGAGCTCAATATTTTCCATTCACTGGGACGGAGACACATGGCAGGTGCGCGTTCTAAGGCTCTGAACTGCACCGGACGGTCGGTGCCTGGGGAGGTACTATCTGGAGAGGCGGCCTCCAATAATCTCTAATCAAGCTTGCTTCTAGCAAACTGAACATCAACCATGTCCATATCACTCAGTCCTAACCCTCTTGCTCTCCCCATCCTCCTCCTTCCCACCATTAACCTCCTTCTCTTCCGCTGCATCAACCTCATCCCGTCCCCTAACCCGGCCAGCACCCTCCCCAAGCTCGCCACTAACCCCCTCCTCCTCCTCCTCGCCCCCGATCCAATTCCCCTCCGCATCAAAGTACTCATGCACATTCTCCGCCGTAATCCACCCGGAACTGCCAGGCATAGGCGGCGGCAAGCCACTGTCGCTGGCATAAACACCCGGTAAGCCAGGGATCTCCTCCCGCCCCTCTACATCTCCCTCAAATACAATCTTGTCGTACTCGTCCTCGTCGTCGTCTTCGTCGCCCAGCGGGTCGGGGTTGAGGTTCGAGCACTCGGATATAGCCTCGAACATCTTCTTTGTCTCCTCGGGCTGCGGTTCGTTGGCGGCGGATGAAGGGGATGTAGGAGGACCGGGGATGAGGGTGAGCTCCACGGTGTCGTAGGACTCATCGTCCTCGCCGCCGTCGGAGAGCTCGAGCTGCAGGTACACGGAGGGGAATTCCTGGCCCCCGTCGACGGCGGTGTTTTGGATCTTACTGATGGCGTGGAGGGTTATTGTCGGGTAGGGCAGGGAGAGGCCGCATTCTGCTTTGGGGGAGTAGATCGTGAAGTTCCTGGAGAGGAGGTTTGCTTGTTAGCAGGGGTAGTTGGGCAAGTGGGGAAGAGGAGGGGAAGACATACTCGGAGTTGATGTAGAGGTCGACTACCTGCTCGCACTTCTCATCTGGGTTGTCCACCGATGGCTCGGGGAAGGAGAGTGGGGAAGGGTTGGCGAAGAAGGCGAGGCTGTCGCATTGCGACCGGTAGACGCGCGCGAGGACGCCGGTTGCGTGGTAGTGGAGCACTGGCTTGCCGCCGTGGAAGGTCTCCGGTGTCTGCGACTGGTAGTCGGACAGAGGCACGTAGTCCGAGACGGACGGAGGCGAGCGGATAATTGTTGGTGGCATCTTGAAGGCTTGCTGTAAGTTCAAACTGTATGGATGTATTGAAAGGTGGTTACTGAGGTGAGGGGGGTGAACTTCGAAGAATAAACAGAGGGGGACCCCTGTTGGAATCGACATTTTTGGCGGGGCTGGTGCAGGAGCTCTTATCGGCTTATCGCGCCTCGGGGCTTGCCTTCCCCAGCTTTCCCCAGCTTTGGCCCTCGAGCTCTCTCTCCCTCACCTTCATGCACTAAACTCCTCAAGTCCATCCGATTCTAAACTGTGCTTCGCACAACTGAACATTGCCTACACCGCGAATATGCACGAAAACCGTAAGCCACCAGCCCTCTTCCCCCTACCACCACCGACTAACAACCCCCCTGCAGGCTCCCACCCGCTCCTAGAGCAAGTCCCCCTCACAGTCTCCCCCTTCGTCAACTTGCCCACGGCGACAACCCTCCCCTACACCTACAAATCCATGCCCTCCACCCTACCCCCCTCAGCGGCGGGCATAACCGCCACCTCCTCAGACCCCCACCCCGATCAACAACCAAAACCGAAATACGTCATCTCCTCCTCCGGCCACGCCGCCCACCCGGACGACATCATCGCCTCCTGCCGCGCGCTACAGGCGCACATATCAAAACTACAAGCCGAGGCGGAAAAAGAGATACGCGAGTTCGACGAGAGGGTGAAGGCGAGGGATCTGGCGGAGAAGAGGAGGCTGGCGCCGGGGTGGCTGGATAGCGATGTGAGGGTGCTAGAGCCGGAGAGGAGGGGGACGGGGACGCCGGAGGTGCAAGGGGGAGGGCAGGAGATCGACATGCTTGATGGCCCAGCGGTGGATTTGGGATTCTTTGCTGGCGGACCGGGGGGGCAAGGGGGACATGGGAGGGGAGGGGCGAGTGAGATGGCCGTGCCGGATGAGGGGGAGCAGTTGGATCGGGCTTTTGGGGGGTTGGGGTTGGGGAAGACTTAGGGAGTTTGTGGTGGTTTGGTGATGGCAGGCTGTCGCTATGTATTTGAAGCTGTATACACAATGCTGTGTGCGCTCAACTTTGAAAGTGGTGGGCATGGAAGCGAGGCAGTGACAGGAGCACCGATATGCACCTGAAAAGAAAGTGCTGCTTCGCTCTTGAATCGTCACTTGTCAGATCGTCGTACCGTACAAGAGTGAGCCCCCAACAATCATTATAGAATCCCTCGCATCTTCAATGTTTGTCAATCAACAAGCAAACTCCTCTGTTGTATATCAGTCCAGCTAATCGTGGTTTCCGAAACTCCGCACCACTGCAGCGCGCGTTCCACTTTGGTCCCACTTTATCTTAACCCATCTAAGCCTTTAGTGACCGGATCCATCATCAATTAGATCGGCCTTGTGGTTTAGAGGTATAATTCTCGCTTCGGGAAAATTCAAAAACTTCCCGGTCTTCTTCTGAAGATCTGAATATGTGAGAGGTCCCGGGTTCGAATCCCGGCAAGGCCCTGTTCTTTTGCCTTTTTCTTTTCTTTTTGTCAGTTGTGTCTTGTTGCTTTTGTTGTTTTACTGGTCTTTTGCCATTGTACGGCTTATTATTTTCTTCTTCGCATGCAGGCTGGCGTGGTGATGGGAGACTGGCCATGCTCCAGGTTGGCTTTCATTCGGCAACGTTGACTCGATAGTCTCCGCATCGCTCTGTGTAAGCGCAATGCCTACCGATGATTCCAGCCTCTTGGCTCCGTGTAACCGAAGCCGGGAACGTAGCCAGTCGTGACTATCACCGTTCTCTTCCGAATGGCGCATGTGGTGTTTCCACACCTCTTGGACTTGCTGGAGCAGGCAAGATGTGGCTGGATGATGATGGTGGAAGCTTGTCGGTATAAGAGTCCATGCGAATCGCGCCTATCAGATAAATGTTGATGGACAGCGCGATCATAAGCGGTATTCTCCAAGTGAAAATGGTCATTATGAAGTCGTCGTCACTCCTCATACTGTTCTTCTTGGCCATCATGTCAAACGTCGGTGCCACGAACGCTACTCCATACCCGCCAAAAATAGAGAGGCTCATCAAAACAGCGAGAGAAGGCCAGTAGACTCTCTGGTAGCTACAGATATGTCCTGACTGAACTTGTTACAGATGGAATCGATCTGCCGTCCTTCCCGTTCGCTTCAGATGCATTCAACTCCATCACAGCTATTAGTGCCTCAAAGAACTCGAGCCATTCCTTCTCAAACGCGAGCAGGATAGATGTCCATGGTCAGTCTACCTGAAGCTCATGGAGTGAGACAGCAGTTAAGCCTCGCCACAGTCCACGTCGTCCCTGACTTCTTCCGTCGTCTGGTACCGGATGCGGCGGGCATTCCCACGCCGTCATGGAAGGTATCGGCCCATTTGCAGGCTATGGCGAACTTCAAGGTCGCGCACGGTTATGTGTCCATCTCTCTTCCAGGTGCCAATGCGTTCCCTGGAAATGAAGTCTACACCGCAGGACTTGCTCGACTGCTGAACGAGTGGATGGCCGAGGTGAGTTACCCTATACTTTCAATCTGTCTCCTTTGATACATTGCTTGACTCCAAACAACGCAGCTCGTCCGGACATATCCCGGACGGTTCTCCTTCTTTGCGGTGATGCCTCTGCCGTATACCAAGTCAGCGTGAGTACTCCCACCAGGCATCGTTTTACGCGAGGAAACGGACAGCCAACAAGTGCACCAGCATCATCGAGCTCAAGCACGCTCTCGGGTCACTCAATGCCCGCGGAGTCGGCCTCCTAACCAACCACGAGGGCATCTACCCCGGTAATCCCTCCTTGAAGCTCTTCTTCTCCGCCCTCAACGACACCAAAGGCGGTCCACACGTAGTGTTTGTCCATCCGGCCATACCATACCTGCGCGGGTCAAACGGAAGTCTGATCGAAGCAAACCCGAGTGAGTGGCACCCGCATGACGCATGTCGTTACAATCGCTGAGGGAGACAAACCGCCTCCAGCCGTGTATCCTAGTGGTCTGGTCGAATTCTACTTCGAGACGGCCAGAGCCATCATGGACCTGACGGCTTCGCAGACACTGACCAACTTCACCAACATCCGATACGGATTCACCCACGGCGGCGGGGCGTTCCCTTCCATCGAGGACAGGTTCCTCAAGTCGTTTGGTGCGCTGGAGGGGGCGGCGAAGGAGGCGTATAACTCGCGGTGAGTGCGGTTCGAGGCATAAGGTATATGCAGTCAGTCAAGCGCTTGCTGACCGCCCGAGCAGAGTCTGGTTCGACAGTGCCGGACCGACGTACTTCAACCAGATCAAGGGTCTGCTTGGGTCCGGTGTGCCGGCCTCGCAGTTGACCTTTGGCACGGTATGAACTCCTCTCTTGCCTTATTCTCGAGAGAGAGAAGCACGTCGCTGACTTGAGTAGGACTTCCCATACGCCCCTGCCCCGATCTATGGTCCGTCGATCGCGGCTGTGGAAAACGCTTCGTTCTTGACGGATGCGGAGAAAAGAGCTGTGTTTAGGGACAACGCGGAGCATCTCTTTGATGGTGACTTCCACTAGGGAGGTAAACAGAGGTATATAATAGCTGGATAGGCAGTTTCAAGTGTACTAGATGGATTTTTGTGAAGGATTCGGAGTCCGCCGTCGTCAGACAGGAATGTGAGGAGAAGGTGAGGACGGCCGAAGTAGAGACCTCACCAAGAGATTGACACGACGCGTAAGTGAGGAAAGTACAGCTTCAATAGATCACCGGCCATCTTCTCTAAGGTATCAGTCGAATTCGAGGTGCAATTGCGCTGACGCTAGGTACCTAAGGCAAGAACGAGGTCAAATAATCAACAAACAGTTTTACCTTTGGCCGGACTGTAGAGTGCAGGTCTCGTTGAGGTCCACTGTAGTCGCCAGTCCCTTCCTGTCCATTAGCTTTCACGTCTACTTCAACAGTCTTCCTTTTCTCAATCATTTCTCCTCGACATCAACCTGAACTCATCTCTCGTTTGGACCACAGACTTTGCTATCGTTAATACTCTCGTTTACGCACACGGACATTCTGAATTCAGAGACCTTCAAAGTCAACCCGCAGCCTGTCGCTCTTGCCCTTCTTGAGCAAGGCTGACATAATCACACTCAGGTTAGTGTCCAGTGGCCCCTTCCTCGGCGTTGGGTGTGGTCAGTGCGGGGGCGACCGAGCCTCCAGCCTTATCGGCTTGTACTTTGTATATCGCGAAGTCATTCCATCACCTTTCCGAATTCGCGATCTACGCGATCCCGGAGCCCCAACCAAACAAACGGGCGCAACAGCATACTGAAACTGGCTCCAACGAGTAACGTCTTCTCTAACAAGCATGGGGCAACAGACCGACAACACTTCTATACAGCACTGGCAACACAAATGCCCGTGAAGAAACAACTGCAGCGCGATTCTTTCCCTCTAAAACAAGAGTACCTACGGAAGTCAGTCGAGTGGAACGTGAAAGCAATCCACGGCGAACGTCAGCGGAAGATCAAGGGCAGGAATCAAACCCAATACCTAGTCGAGTGGGAGCCCGACCCGGACACAGGGGAGACGTTTGATTTTGACTGGGTAAGTAACCGGTTGCCTCAGTTAGTGCGACTGCTCCAGTTACTAACTACTCTCCGTATTCTAGAGACCATCGAATAAAATTGGTTGGGAAGCCAAAGAGGAGTGGAAGAGACAACAAGAGGGCGACCAGCAGGAAAAGCCCAGCAAGCAGCCCAGCAGAAAACGGCAACGAGAGGAGTCGGTATCGGTTGCATCCGTCCCCTCGTCAACACGCAGTTCCGCGAGACAGGCAGCGAAGAGGAGGCGCCACGACGCCGACCTGGAAGTGGCCCTGCCCTCCAAACTCGACCTCAATCCCGACGACTACGATATCATCGGCCCAAGCCAGTTAGCGAGCCAAACCACGATCCCGGACTCGCAGGAGAACCCAGACTCTTTCCCGTCCGCCGCCGCAACAGCCGGCGACCAGGAAGCCCGATTTGAGCTGCGCTCTCCAAGCCCAGCTCATTCGATCCCCGTCGAAACAAGCGGCCTCTCTGGCTCGCCAGATCAACAACAGGATTTCCAGATCGCTCCTGTGCCGTCCGACTTGAGCTCTCCTGTCACAAAGGAGCAGTTAGAGACATCAGAGGGGCAGACAGAGACCTTGGAGGAGCAGCAAGGGACGTCAGACGAGCGGGTTGAGACGGGGCAGCAGTCGACCCAACGGGAGCCATCACAAAACGCCTCTGAGCTTTCTACGTTACAATCTACTACCCCGGACGAGGAGACAGCATCTGAAGACGAGGTTGTTACCACAGAACAACAGCAGCGTCGACAGAGCAGCCCTGGGACTTCTTCCTCACAACCGGGAATCTCTGAAGAACACTTTGAGGCCTCCAAAGAGCGCGCTGAAATCAATCGTTTATCGTTCGGAGAGCGCCAAGTTGTCACTACTACGAACACTCAACAGACCTTGGACCTGCCCCCAGACGTCTCGACGGCCAAATCCCCATCTGTCACCCAAGAGACACCCCCCTCACAGGGCTTTTTGACGCAGCCCGAATTAGAGCCCGAGAGTCTTCAACCATTAGAGACATCGCCTCCTCAGAGTAGAGCTCAGAGCGTATTGCAGGTCATCGCGGATTCCAACGACGCCGCAGACAGCCGGGAGGCTACGAGCCAGGCTACGCAGGACTTGCCCTCCAACAATATCCACTCAGCGCAAATAGTTCTACCACTGAGCAGCGTCCCCGACGAGTTAGGCACTCCCAGCCAACGAGAGACGGAGCCGAGTCAACGCGTCATTCCGGCATCGTCGCTTGGTCAGGAACAGACAGGGAGCTCAAGTGCTACAGCCGCCAGAAGTAGAAGCGTCCCGAGCGACGCCATTGTGTGTGAGACTCCGGCACGACGCGCTCATTCTACCTCAGGCGCCGAATCTTCAGCACCGCCGAGTCAGCTCACGGCTGATATCAGCGTTGAGCATAACCAGGCCCTGGTCGTCGGTCCGCACCAGACCGTCACTGAGGAGGTGCCTGCCAGTACCGAGAGTCGCACCGTTGACGCAGCGACACAAAAAGAAGTCACCTCTTTTCACGTCACCTTGGTGTTTGATAATCGTCCAATCAGCTCATCGTCTCGTAATCCAGTCGTTGGTTTCGGTACGGAACCCGTATTTCACCATAGCATCCCCGAACCTATTTCGCCCGATTCTCGGCCAGCCAATCCAGTTGAGGATACTGCTCGCAGTACGCCAACATCCTGTGATAGGAACATTACCATTATGGATCCCAACTCCGTCGACCCCGACAAGCGGGCCGAGATCGATGCCGCCGGTGTTGACGAGGGAAATCTTACCAACCTGATACTAGGGTGGCACGCCAAATCGACGCCCTCCCGCTTTGACCGGTCGCCGACTCCTTCGGACCATGAACAATCAAGCCAGCATACTCCCGGCCGCAGATCGGTGGGAGATCAATCCCAGCATGGCGAGCGGGTTGCTTCCGACCA